ATACTAAGCAAGTCATATATTGGTACTTTTCTGGTCATTTTCACTTCACTTCAGATCTAAGCTGTCTTTTAGAAACTGATGCCAATAAAGTGCAACAATAATTCTTTTTTCTACAAATTAAATTCATTTCCCAATGTATCCCTCAATTCCTTCACAAACATGATTAACTGTCTCATGATTCCACTGATCAGATCTCCTATCCTTGTTGATTTATTCCATAATTTAATATTATCCTGTTCCTATTCCTTTTTACTTCAAACGTCCTTATTTTTAAGTTGCTTTCCGAGAGACTTAAATCCTTCATGACATTGAATAATTTGCCCAATTAGTTAGGCAGTTTCTTTCATAGTCATAAATATTCCATTCAGATCACTTGTGCTCATTTTTCAAAATGAAGCAGCATTGAGTTTTCAAAAACAGCTCGGAGGCCAAGTAAAGGTCAAATCAAACATCAGGTCTGTCTGGCCCTTGTTCACAATGGGATGGCAACTGAAGGAGCGAATGAGCAAGAACTTCATTGAAGGATGGTGAACTTCTTTCAGCATGTGAAAAATACATACCAGTTTATATGATGCCCTGGCAGCCCACTGCTGCACAATGCTGTGCATTTTTGATTAGCAGGTTACCTAATGTATCAAAAGGTGTTGGAAAATAAACAACTACGCAGGTGATCAGCTGAATGTCACAATATTTGTATAGCAAAGTGGATAATTTGTCCCTGTTTGGATATAACAGCATGATTGCTGTTTCAGGGCCCTCTATGATTCTCTAGCATAAACCCATCAGCTGGAGAAATCATGTCCTTATCAAGCCCTTCATACAATTTACTTATTTAAAATTTGATACATGGTCAGAAAACTAAGTGGACTGCATCAGAGAAAAACAGTTGAATTAACATTGGAATAATATGAAAAGCCAACATGAACCTCACAGATAAACTAAGAGCCCCATGAACACAGCATGCTCTATCCTAAAGCACAAGTATAGCACAATACATTTGCTCTATTCTGTATTGCCATTTATTGACTGTTTTGTTTTTGAGAATCATATTCACAGAGAAATGAGTCGAGACTGCGAAAACTCACAACATGTAGAAGAGCTCAGCTGACCCTAGATCTGAGGAAAGGATAAGGAGTTTAGGTCCCTGCATCATGCCGACCACTGTTCATCTTCCAGTAAAGAGTAATGACTAGACTGAGTGCAGACTGGCACATTCCAAAGCCCAGAACTACATGCCGGGGGATGCGCTAAAGCTTGGGGCAGTTGCCACCAAGGCACAGTGGGGAAAAATCTAAGGTCTTTCTGCCGAAGTTTAACGAGGGTCTGATCAGTTATCAGACACTCTCATTGCATTAACGTAAATACTCTCCGGCATGAGTAAGAAATGCCTTTGGTTTTTGCAACTGCAGAGAATGTCAAATTCCAATGTTTTTATTGATACACAAAGACTGTTCAGAATTGCTTTAGTACCTGTGAATGCAGATAATTTTTTTTATGAATGAAGTATAGTTTTGCAATTAAAAAAGTCAGAATGCAACATTCTGTTTGAGAAGGACACTGGTGACCTTGGCCCAAGATTGAGCTAATTATTTTCACGTCACTGAGAAGTCAATAATCATGATAGAGCCATATGATTCAGCTTTGAAATATATGCAGATATTGTTTATTGTTACGAATATATTTAAAACGTCTTTTACTTGCCATGGTATGTAGCTTAAAGTGGTGCAGTGATTGAAGAATTGATATAGGCCAAAAAGAAAAAATGTGTGAAAGGTCTTGTGTTATTAATCCTCTGAATCCATACACCATTTAATCATACAGACTGCATGGATTTCTAAAGAGGAAATTGTATTTAACTAACTTGCTGAGGTTTTTGAGGAGATAATGGAAATGGTTGATGTGGTTAAAGCTGTTGTTTTGGTATATATGGATTCTCAGAAAGTGTCTGATACAGTGCCACACAACAACCTTGTGAGGAAAGCTACAGGTCATGATGTAAAAGGGGTAGCAGCAGCAACATGGATATAAAATTGGCTGAGTGACAGGAAACAGAGGGCAACGGTTGAGAATATTTTCAGTTGGAGAAAGATCTGTAGTGGAGTAATTAGGGGTTGGTATTGGAACTTTTGCTTTTCCTGATATATATTAATGATCTGGATGTTGGTGTGTAAGGCACAATTTCAAAGATTGCAGATGACACCAAACTTGGAAGAACTGTAAATTGCGAGAACAGTATGGAACTCCAAAAGGACACTGACAAGTTGGTAGAGTGGATGGATAGGTGGTAGAGGAGGCTCAAAGCAGAGAAGTGTGAGATGATGCACTTTGGTCAGAAGGCCATTGAAAGAGAATACAAAATAGGGAGTACAATTTGAAAGGGGTACAGGAGCATAGTGAAGAAATTGGTGTTCTCCTTGGAGACAAGAAAACTGAGAGGAGATTTGATAGAGGTTTTTAAACTCATGAGAGGCTGGACTGAATAGATGGGAAGAAGCTGTCGTCACTTGTAAAAGGAAAAAGAATGAGAAGGCATAGATTTAAAATGATGTGAAAATGAAGCAAGGGTGACATGAGTTTTCACAGAGCAAGTGGTTAGGGTATGGAATACAATGCCTGGAAACGTAGTGGAGGCAGTTTCAAGTGAGGCATTCAAGAGGGCATTGAGTGACTTTTCGGATAAAAATGGTGTGCAGCGATAAGGGGAAAACGCAGGAGATTGGCACCATGTAATAGAACTGGCACAGGAATGATGGGCCAAATGGCCTCCTCTATGCTGTACCAATTCTGTGATATACTAATTTTAAAATAACATGTAGTGAGTGTTATTGTTCGCTAGAGGTCAATCTTTGAACTACTGACAGAAGCCAGTCAGTGCTGATTTATGCTGACTTGAGCAGTTTGAGTCAAAACCAATATTCCATTTCTAATATGTAAATATGAGGGACTGCTGTCAACCGAAAATATCAAGTCAACACATGCAGTTGTTGAAAAAAATTGATCAACTGTCATATCATGCAGAGACAAGAGGTCAGTTGCTATGATAACAGGAAAAATTCTGACTTATGCACGAGGGAGGTTCTTCTACACTATACTGCCAAGCTGTAATCCATATCCAAACTAAGCTACACTAGTAAGACCGGGTAATGGGAACGTTACTCTGCACCTAACAGTACTGGAGAGCACGTTTATGAGTCAGTGCCAATGAACTTTAACTGTAAGTTATATGATCCTGTAACTTAAAGACATCCAACATTTTTGGAGCTTGGAGAACAATACTAATGTCAAGATCAGTGGAAACACCTCATAGGACGAGGCAGAACTTTGAACTGTCACACAGAAAAAAAATACAAAACCACTCTGTACATAGTTATGGTATTCACATCACAATAAGGATATGGAGACACCAGAGAAACTGTAAAATAGATTTAAACAGAACACACCAGAGCTGAGAGGACTTATAACTATTAGGAAATAATAAATATAGGCTGGGGCTGTATCCTTTAACAATAAAAAGGACTGAGGAGTGACTTAACGTCCCCACAGTGACCTCTGCAGATACACAGTGGCTTGATAGTGCAAGCATAGAGAAGCGCTTTTCAATTGTGCAAAGTCCAAATCTGGGGGCCATAATTATAAGATGGTCACCATTAAATCCAACAGGGAATTCAGGAGAAACATTTACCCATAGAGTGGTGAGAACATGGAACCTGCTTCCACATAGTGCAGGTGAAGCAAATAACATTGATGCTGTTCACAGATAGTTCATAGAGGAAGCCAGAAAATGACAAGAAGAAGAGATGCATTAACTTATGTGCAGATATACTGAAATGAGGTAAGGTGGGAAGAGGTTCATGTGAAGCATAAGTACTAGTATAGATCATTTGGGTTGAACAGCCTGTTTCTGTGTTGTAAAATGTACTTTTTTTTCTTTATTTATTCATTCAGGGGATGAGTGTGTCGCTGGTTAGGCCAGCATTTATTGCCCATAAAAACCGAAAGAACTGCGGATGCTGTAAATCAGGAACAAAAACAAAGTTGCTGGAGAAGCTCAGCAGGTCTGGCAGCATCTGTGAAGGAAAAAACAGAGTTAACGTTTTGGGTCCGGTGACCCTTCCTCAGAACACAGTTATTTAATTATTGCCCATCCCTAATTGCCCAGAGGCAGTTATGAGTCAATTACATTGCTGTGGGTCTGGAGTCACATGTAGGCCAGACCAGGTAAGGATGGCAGTTTCCTTCCCTAAAGGTCTTTAGTGAACCAGATGGGTTTTTCTGACAGTCAGCAGACTCTTAATTCCAGATATTTATTGAATTCAAATTCCACCCTCTGCCATGGTGGGATTCGAACCTAGGTCCCCAGAACGTTACCTGGGTCTCTAGATTAACAGTCCAGCTATAATACCACTAGGCATTGCTTCCCTTTACATGATTCTATATAATTGTGTATACTGGCTTCTTCAACTCACAATCTTTGACTTAGTTTTGAGTGAAGCCATTTGTTTAAGTGTGATTTAAAGTATCATGGGAATATATGTAACATACACACAGTACATACAGTCACAGATAAAGGTTTAGTGTCTGTTATGTTAAGTAATGAACTGAAATATCAATGGAGTTGTTGCAGAATAAGGAAACTGCAGGCACACTCTAGTGACTTCTAAACTGCAACATAGTTTCAGAGTCCATGTGAGAATTATAAAACACGTCTGTAAAACCAGAGTACTTTTTAATCATCATCCAAACCCTTGATTGGACAAAGCATGTAATTACTTCATTGTTCTCTGAATCTGGTGATCAGATGTCACCCAATCACCTTGAAAAACCTTGTCAAACAATACGTGCACAGCAGCTACTAGGAGCCAAACAACCTGAACTCAATTCCCAATGACGCAGAGAGATATAGTGTTCAAGGTCACAGTAGTAATACATTTTGTGGTGGTTTTTATTTGTTTGCTTTCACTGCTCATAAATTTCATTTTGTAAACACTTGCGAGATTGCGGTCTCACCCCATTTCCCTCCCAAAGAAGATAAGTCAAAAGCCATGAATCATAAACGATATGATTTGAAAACAGAGGCAATTGTTCAGCGCTTTGCATTTCCTTGTTTAAAAATGCTGGCTGTTATTTCCCTAGCACAAAAAACACTGGAGTTGTGAAATGTTTTCTAAGTTAATGTTTTTCTTACTCAGACTCTGTTTCTGTACATCCTTCCAGACTTTTTACCAACGATTCCTCAAAGATCTCCAGTTCTTCAAATGAAATTCGCAAGAGACAGGTGATGTGACGGATGAGGACCCTCGCACGTGCATCGTAGTATCCTTCAACACAAATGTGAAATGAAGCATTCTAGTTAGAACACTCTAGAACGGCTAAAACTTTTATTTTGTTCGTTTTGCATTATCTAAATATACCAGATTTGATAATAAGTAATGTGTTTGACATTGGGTAGTTTCAGGTTTCAATAAACAGATCTGACAAATACTCTTATACCAAGCAAAGACCAGAACTGCAATGCCCAGTGTAAGGTTGAACCATACAGACCCATAGTGTCCTCTCAGGTGGGGTTCTGAGTGTGTTGATCAGTGAAAACCAAATATGCACCATCCTGTTTGCTTCTAGCGCACAGACACCACAAAGCTCAAAAACCTTGTGCCTTAATGTGCAGAGCATTTGCAATAAAGTAGACAAACAAATCGCACAGATAGATGTAAACGAGCACAATATAATTGTGATTACGGAAACACGGCTGCAGGGTGACCAGGGATGGGAACTGAATGTCCCAGGGTATTGAGTATTTAGGAAGGACAGGCAGAAAGGAAAAGGTGACGGAGCAGCATTGCTGGTTAAAGAGGAAATTAACACAATAGTGAGAAAGGATATTAGCTCTAACAATGTGGAGTCTGTATGGGCAGAGTTAAGAAGTACCAATGGGCAAAAAACATTAGCGAGTGTCATATATAGACCCCCAAACTGCAGTGGTGATGCTGAGAATGGCATTAAACAGGAAATTAGAGCTGCATATGATAAGGGAATTTCGGTGATCATGGTTGATTTTAATCTGCACATAGATTGGGCAAATCAAATCAGCCACAATAGAAGAGGAATTCCTGTAGTGTATACAGGATGATTTTTTTGACCAATATGTGGGGAAACCAAAGAGAGAGCAGGCCATCTTAGACTGCATACTGTGTAATGAGAGGGAATCATTGCCAATCTAGCTGTGCGAGATCCCTAGGGGATGAGTGACCAAACATAATAGAATATCAAGATGGAGAGTGAGGTAGTTGATTCAGACTCTAGGGTGCTGAATCTTAATAAAGGAAACTATGAAGGTATGAGGTGTGAGTTGGCCTTGATAGATTAGGGAGAGTTAGAAGGATGACACTAGATAGGCAACGGCAAACATTCAAGGAACACATGGGGGAACTGCAACAACTGTTTATTCCTGTCTGCACTAAAGCAAAATGGGTAAGAGGGCCAATCCATGGCTTACAAAGGAAATTAGAATTAGGATTCGATCCAAGGAAGAAGCTTATGGTCCAATCGCCTGAATATTGACTTCACCCGCTTCAAAATCTCTCCTCCCCCAATCTGTCCATCTTCTGACTCACCTATCCGCTCCACCCTTCTCACTGACCAACCACAATAACCCCCTACCTGCATCCACTTAGCTCTATCTCACCAACACCTCCCCCAAAACCCACTCCCCTCCCTCTATTTAATTCTGGGCTCCCCTCCACCTTCCCAGCCCTGACGAAGAGTTTCAGCCCAAAACGTTGACTTTCCTGCTTCTCGGATGCTGTCTGACCTACTGTGCTTTTCCAGCTCCACGTTTATTGACTCTAGCTCCCAGCATCTGCAGTCCTTACTGTCTCCAAGGAAGAAGCATACAGATTGGCCAAGAAAAATAATATGTCTGAGGATTGGGAACAGTCTAGAATTCAGCAAAGACCAAGGGATTGATTAAGAAAATACAGTACAAAAGTAAGCTTGCAGGGAACATAAAGACTGAAACTAAGAGTTTCCATAGGTACATGAAGAGAAAGAGATTGAAGACAAATGTAGATCCCCTACAGACAAAAATCAGAGGAATGTATAATGTATAATGGGGACAAAGAAATGGCTGAGCACCTGAATACATACTTGGGTCTGTCTTCACAAAAGAGGACACAAATCAGATACCAGAAATGTTGAAGAATGCAAGATTTCGAGAGAGGGAAGAATTGAGGGAGATCAATATTAGTAGAGAAATGGTGCTGGGAAAATTGATGGTATTGAAGGCCGATAATTCCCCAGGGCCTAATAATCTACATCTCAGAGTACTTAAGGAATTACTCTAGAAATGGTGGATGCATTGGTTGTCATCTTCAAGGATTCTATAGACTCTGGAACAGTCCCTGCAAATTGGAGGGTAGCTAATGTCACTCCAATATTCAAAAGGGGAGGTAGAGAGAAAACAGGGAATTATAGACCAGTAAACCTAACATTGGTAGTGGGGAAAATTCTCAAATCCATTATTAAGTTCTTTATAGCGGAGCAGACAGGATCAGACTGAGTCAGCCTGGATTTATGAAGGGGAAATCATACTTGACAAATCTGTTGGATTTCTATGAAGATGTAATTAGTAGAGTTTACAAGGGCGAGCCAGTCGATGTAGTATATTTGGACTTTCAGAAAGCATTTGACAAAGTTCCACCTAAGAGATTATTGCGCAAAATTAAAGTGCATGGGATTGGGGGAAGTGTATTGAGATGGATAGAAAACTGGTTGGCAGACAGGAAACAAAGTGTAGGAATTAATGGGTTCAGAGATAGTAGGAACTGCAGATGCTAGAGAATCTGAGATAATAAGGTGTAGAGCTGGATGAACACAGCAGGCCAAGCACCATCAGAGGAGCAGGAAAGCTGATGTTTCGGGCCTGAAGAAGGCTCTACACCTTGTTATCTCTATGTAGGAATTAATGGGTCCTTTTCAAATTGGCAGGCAGTAGCTAGTGGGGTGCCACAGGGATCAGTGCTGGGACTCCAGCTATTCATAATACATATTAATGATTTGGATGAGGGAACAAAATGTAACATCTCAAAGTTTGCAGATGATACCAAGTTGGGTGGCAGGGTGAACTGTGATGAGGATGCAGAGATCCTTCAGCATGATCTGGACAGGTTGGGCGAGTGGGCAAATCAATGGCAGATGCAGTATAATTTGGAACAATGTGAAGTTATTCTCTTCAGAAGCAAAAACAAGAAGGCAGATTACTATCAGGTTGGCTGTAAATTGAGAGAGGGGAGTGTGCAGCGGGACCTGGATGTCCTTGTGCATAGTCGCTGAAAGTAAGCATGCAGGTGTAGCAAGCGGTAAAGAAGGCAAATGGTATCTTGGCCTTCATTGTGAAAGGTATTGAGTACAGAACCAAGGATGTGTTGTTGCAGTTATAGAGGGCTTTGGTGAGTCCACACCTAGAATACGGTGTGCAGTTTTGGTCTCCTTTTCTGAGAAAGGATGCTCTTGCTCTCGAGGGGATGCGGCGAAGGTTTACCAGGCTGATTCTGGGGATGGCAGGACTGACGTATAAGGAGAGATTGACTAGGTTAGGATTGTTTTCGCTGGAGTTCAGACAAATGAGGGGTGATCTCACAGAGACTTCTAAAATTCTAACAGGACTAGACAGGGTAGATGCAGGGAGGATATTCCCAACAGTCGGACTGTCCAGAAGCAGGGGTCACAGCCTGAGGAATCGGGGTAGACCATTTAGGACAGAGATGAGGAGACATTTCTTTCACCCAAAGAGTGGTGAGCCTGCAGAATTCATTACCACAGGAAGTAGTTGATGCCAAAACATTGAATGGATTCAAGACATGGCTGGATATAGCATTTGGGGCGAATGTGATCAAAGGTTATGGCGAGAAAGCAGGATTAGGCTATTTAATTGGACGATTAGCCATGATAGTGATGAATGGCGGAGCAGGCTCAAAGGACAACTGGCCTCCTCCCGCTCCTATCTTCAATGTTTCTAAAATGCTACTTTTCAGGTTAAGAATAAAACGAATATTGATGATTGTATCAATTAATATTTTGATTAACTAAATAAATTAGACCAAAGGAAGGTGTTAAAGTATATGTACTGGAACCATCAACAACTCATCCTGTATCAACACATCCCCTCTAAATCATCAACAGCCAATCTAACCCACTCTCTGAATACCTATACCACAACGGGCACACCAACAGATCACACAGCAAGAATATGGACAAGCAAACATTTAATTATGTATTTTGGAGTAAAGCATGGTAAAGCATTGCAAGATATTGCTGAAGTCACTAAGATGGTACACAGCACGGTGGTAAAGTCTTTACTTTCAACGTGGAATGTTCCTATCGTTAGCAGACAGGACAAAAATAAGCAAAAAATCTGCGAAAGGAGGTTTTAAACATAATATTTATGCAAATAAATGTTAAAAATATTTCTGCTCATCAAAGTGAGGAATTTCTGTGGTGGGGAATGGAACATTTTCAGGATTAGTATCAGCAGGGATGAAGTCCCATTGAACAGTCCTAACGCAATAGTATTGGTTGTATCCAAGGTTAAACTCAATCCATGCAGTCCCAAAAATATGCACCAACTTCAGGAATGTCTTTTCATACACAAATATTATAATCCTCATTCCTATTCTAGCCAGTCAAAAATCAAGTTAATGCTAATTAGTGAGAAAAAATACCCATGGGGACCTGGGTTGTGACTAGAAATACAGAATGAAACAGGACATTAACTCTAAGCAGTTCACGTCAGTGTTTATCCTTCATGCAAGCAAATAGTTCAAACCACATTTTCTCCTCAGCTCATTTTCCTTTGTTCATATGCCCCAAGCTAATTTTGAATGCTGACAGATTCTGCCAGGGTTGGCCATACCATATAAATGAATCGAGCAGCACCTAGGCCATCAGGCTTTAAGGGGTACCAAATTAGATGGAAGTGAATGCCAAGTAAATAAAAGTAAAATTTCATTCTTGACTTCAATTTTTTCTCTTTGATGACTGTGCACACGTGTTTGGGTATGAGTGGAGGGTAGGGTGGGGTGTGGTGGGGGTGGTTTTTGCCAAATCCTTGGGCCAGCACTGTCTTGGCTCTAAGCCTGTAAGAATGTTTCACAGCTTGCAACTCTCAAAACTGGGCAAACTGATTTGATACAGGCTCCAGTCAGCAGAGGACAGCTTTGCCCTGCCAAATTCAGGTGGATTTCAACACACATCCCAGAAGTAAAAGACTGAAGTTGAAAT